AAATTCGGATGCACGCACAAAAGTTATAGCGGTTTTAAATCTTGTATTTCAAATATAAATTAAATGGATTCCTATTCGTTGTAATTCGCGAATTTATTCATAAATGATTAAACACCATTGTTTTCTTTGCATACTAGTCAAATCACACTGAAATACGGTTTAACAGTCGCGAAAAACAAGTAGAAACATGAAGATATCGGAAAATAAATTAATTTTTTTCTGGTAGCCCCCATATAACGGTACCTCCTAATTTTCAGTATGTTGGGGGTTTTGGTCGTGTTTTTCCACCAAATTGGCTCCACAAAAAATTATGAATATAGGTCAATTTTTTCGGGAAGGCCCCATATAAGGGTACCTCCCAATTTTCGGTATTTTGGGGTTCTTGGCGCGTTTTCCCATCTCCGATATTTCCCATCTTCGAACTTGAACAAAGTTTGGAATAAATAATAATGTATGCAAAGTTTTCACTGTATTAAAGTGTATACACCCTCATTAGCCATAAGGCTGAGTGTTGAAATATTCATTAAAAATTGCTGAAATTTGTATTTGGTGTACATTATGGTTTGCATAATAAGTTTGTAGAAAGGTCACTTTCCCTTTATTTTCATTTCAAGTACCTGTCAGTATATGGGAAATTACAAAATTCTTTTATAATTCCATTAAAAAAATTTTGAAAAATTTTTTGCGAGCACATTTATTATTTTTGGTACATAGGTTAAGAAAAATATGCTGATTCGAAATCTGTTCGCGTTTACAAATTCGGATGCACGCACAAAAGTTATAGCGGTTTTAAATCTTGTATTTCAAATATAAATTAAATGGATTCCTATTCGTTGTAATTCGCGAATTTCTTCATAAATGATTAAACACCATTGTTTTCTTTGCATACTAGTCAAATCACACTGAAATACGGTTTAACAGTCGCGAAAAACAAATAGAAACATGAAGATATCGGAAAATAAATTAATTTTTGAATTAAAACAAACATTTTTTTTTTTGAATTTTCTATTTTTTAGTATGGTTAAGAGGATACGGTTTTTCCTTAATCTTCTAAAATATACGACGCTTTCTTCTGCAAATTCTTTTAGATGATTGTTAAATATCGGTAGATTCATCTGATAAGAGTTTCGACCTCATTAATGGCTAAATATATTGCACTTACAATACATAAAAATGATCAATATTGAAAAGCTTGCAATTCACGAATTAGTTGAAATCGGTTGATGCGCATGCGATTTTCGTATAAACCGAATCAATGTCTTTCAATAATTATGAACTTTTCGATGTTTAATATAGCGGTCAAAGTGTGCCACTCGATGCACTTTACTGTGCAAAAACCCTAAAAATGGCTAAAAATCACGCAACGTGCATACGATTTTTATGCGCATCCGATTTCAGTAATCTCCTATGAATACACAAAAGGACACCTTTTTTAAAAGGATCGGTTAAGAACCGCGGATGTGCCTCCACAATCAATTTTGGATAAAATACATATCCAATTGTTACCTATTTTCACACAGATTCGCGAATATGATAAAACAAGAATGAATGTATGCGAAATCAATTCGAAGAAAAACACGATTATTTACGCGAATTTGTCAAAATAAATTTTTGCAGTTTTTCCCACATTCAAGGTACCTATATCCCCCGTTTTATTGGGCGGAATTGAACATTGATGGGCTCATTAGATCCGGCACGTAAAAAAACTAAAATCACGCGGGGTTCCACCGAATTTGAGTGGACTTTCTTAATTTTAGACTCAAAAAATAGGTTTTTTTTATAAAAATTTACGCACCAAATTTTCGTTTTTGGAACCCAATTGCAAAGAAGCTGCAGTGAGCACATTCATGAGATACTAAACGAAGCAGAATCACGAGTTCTACAATCCTATAATTAGTTTATTCTATTATCTGAATGCGCATCCTAATTATAAGAAAAATTCAAAAAACACGGAAAATCCGGCTTCAAATTTCAGCATCCATTTTGGGTGGATGCAGTGATTATATCGAAAAATCATACATTAGAACCATATAGTCCATGGGGTATTCTGCAACTTAGTCACTGATCACATATGCGTGCGTTGTGTAGTTTAGCCACAAATCAGGAAGGATCACAAAAAAACTCGTTGGCTTCAACACATTTTCACCCATTTTTTACATTACCACCATCACAGCTTCCACGCAACTCATTATTTATTACCAATATTTTAAGATTTTGACAAGAACACTTCATTTTATAGAATTGAATTTAAATTATATGCAATATGTTCATATTTCGCGAATTATAACCTTGCAAACCTCAGCTTCAAGGAATTTAAAAGATTTTTGTAATTTCCCATATCTATGGTGGAGGGTATCCAAAGTGAAAAACTCACTTGTTAATATTTATATTGACAGTTTTTGATTACGATTTAAAAAGTTTAAATTAAATAGCAACACGCAAAATCCGGTCGTTTGCTATTTTAGTCATAATGTCAATATTTGTTAGCAGTAGATGTGTAAAGCTAATGGTAATATTTTCTAAAGCTGCATTTTACACCCTGGAACCCTGATGATTTTGAATAGACGATATTCTTTTATTCAAAATTTGGAAAACATATTTGGTCAATTATTATGAACATTAAATTAATGTTAATATGAATAGACAAGTGGATATGAATAGACAAGCGTTTTTTGCTTAATTTTTATATGAAAAGTTTTGTTCACATTTGTGTACGAGTTCGGCACCAAAATCGGAAACTTGAGCAGAGTATCGTTCCTATATATTAATACCATAATCAGTGTTGCCAATTTAGCACTTTTAGTGCTAGATTTAGCACTTTTTGAACTCGTTTAGCACCAAAAAAATTGATCTAGCACCTAGCACATTTTTTAATTTCTTAGGATTTTTTTTATAAAATTTTGGTTTCAACCCAAAAAATCCCGTTCGCGCGATGAATTAGATTTTCCAATGGTCGGGTACTTCATGTGGTGACTATGACATTGTCTGTTGGTAGATTGTTTATTTGGGAAAATGAAAAATCTAATTAAGTTGTACATTTGAGAGCAATATAAAAATAATGAACATGAATTATGTTGGAACTTTCTGAAAACAAGTATTTTATTCAGCGGGAATCCCGAATGCTAAGTTATAACCACTTTAGATTACCGAAAAGGCGTGCGTGCCAGAATAAGGACCAAAATAGAACGATTCCGGCAAACATATTTTTTATACCCTCCACCATAGTATGGAGGGTATATTAATTTTGTTTTTCCGTTTGTAACTCATCCGACCCTATAAATTATATATATTCTTGATCAGCGTAAAATTCTATGACGATATAGCCATGTCCGTCTGTCTGTTGTAATCATTCTAGCGTCTAACAGAATTAAGATAGATCGCCAAAATGTTGCATAGGGTCGTCTATTGTCTGCAGGCAGGTCAAGTTCGAAGATGAGCTTTATCGGTCCACGTTTAGGCATAGCTCCCATATAAGGGTTCCCCCCAATGCTGCAATTTGGTATTTTGTAGTCGCATATGGTAACAAATCTCCCTACCAAAAATTATTAATATTTGCCCCCTTTTTGAGGTAGTCCCCATATAACCCCCTTTTTTATATTAAAATAGTAATCTGATTTGTTCCGCGTTTTGAATTTGGTTCTGAGACTCTTTGTAATCATTTTACCTGCGGAGAAAAGCGAGATAAAAAATTAGATCGTAAGGTTCGATAATGAACTATATCCGCATTTAGACCTAGCCCCTGTGTGGAGGTTCCAGAGGTAGTGGACTGATATTAACCATTTTCAAATTTGAACTAAGTTTGGAAGAAATAATAAGATGGGCAAAGTTTGGATGAAATCTAAATTTTCGGAAACGGACTTGGTCCAAAGAAACATGAGTCTAGTACCAATATTTCGATGAGGCACATTTTCACCGTGTTAAAGTGTATACACCCTCATTAGCCATAAGGCTGAGGGTACAATTATCCATTAAAAAATTCTGAAATTTGTATTATGGTTAACATAATGGTTTACATAATCCGTTTTTAGAAATGTCGGAATAGGTTCACTTTTTGGTATGTTCCCTATATTTTCATTTATAGTACCTGTCAGTATATCTATGGTGGAGGGTATCCAAAGTTCGGCCCGGCCGAACTTAACGTTTTTTCACTTGTTTTATATTAAAGTCGCTGTTGGGAATGAGATTATACACCCTTAAAAGTACGCAAATGGGACGAAAATTGATAATTGTCTTCATATTTGTACGCAATGTGAAATTATAGTTATTTACCTTAACCAAATTTGGGCATTATTAGAATTTATATTTTAATAGGTAGATTTCAAACACCATCAAAACAAAAAATAGAAAAAATTGAGTCAATTCGGTTGCGTGTCCGACGTCCCCAAAATGTCGAATAATGGGGAGGGTATCGCTCTCTGGGGGCTACCCCTAAATATGGACCCATATTAATAATTTTTGATAAGGAGATTTTTTACTCAACAAAATTTAAACAATCAAATTAAAACCAATTCAATTGATGAGGGTTACCCTTAAAAGTGGACCAATATTAATAAGTTCTAGTAAGAAGACTATATATCCAGGTAGAACACAATATACAAATATACAGCAATTTAAGTTGAAAAATGTGCCTAAAAGATTAAAACGACCGATATATTCCATTTCCAATATCAAATCTCATAGGAGTAGTACCAACGTATGTGCAAAATTCCAAAGCTCTGTCTTCAATATTGCGACCTCAATCGGACGGACATGGCTAAATCGACAACGAATTGTCGCTAAGAATAAATCGGGTTTCTGATTAATATTTCATAGTTAAATATTAACAATTTTGTTCTAGATATTTTTAGCACTTTTTTAAAATTTTTAGCACTTTCTAGCATTTTTTTCAACAAAATCTAGCATTTTTCCTCAACAAAGTTTTGACAACACTGACTATAATTAATAAATAAATAACTTAAATATAATATGTTATGTATGTCTATATGTTTGTATATTTTCAGGAGTCTCGAGGCAAGAGACCTTTAAAAATTTGGGATAGTTGGCGGAATGTACGGAAGGGTGTTGTTGTTGGCACATTTGAAGAATTGTTAGTAAGAGGTAAGTAAATTGAGGTTTTATGTCAAATATTTATTTGTTTTAAGAAATATTTATTGATTCTCGAGTGCAATTTCTGTTCACCTTTGCTCTGGTATGAACTTTTCCAGCAGTATGTTAGAAAGGTCACACGACAAACTGTCACCTTGTCTGAATCCTCGTTCGGTATTAAAGGGTTCCGAGAGGTCTTTTCGGATTTTAACTGCTTATCTTGTTCCAGTTAAAGTTATCCTGCATAGCCGAATTAATTTTGCAGGAATGCCAAACGCAGGCTTGGTTTTAAATACCTCTGAACGGATAGGACTGTAGAATACGTTTATAGTCGACGAATAGGTGGAATGTGTCGATGTGTTTTTCGGGGGTCTTTTCCAGGATTTGGAGCAGAGTGAAAATATGGTCAATGGTGGATTTGCCATGTCTGAAGCCGCATTGGTATGGTCCAATAATGTCATTTTCCATTCATTTCAGTCGTTCACCCAGCACACTGGATAGCACATTATATGCGATGGGAAGAAGACTAATTCCTCCATAGTTGGCACATATGGGCTTGTCTCCTTTTTGTGCTCGGGACACAGGATGCTGAGGTAACAATCATTGGGTATGCATTCCTCTAGCCAAATTGTACCAATCAGCTGGTGCATACTCCTGACCAGCATCTGAACACCAGTCTTGAATAGTTTGGTAACCCATCGGCTCCTGCTACTTTATTACTCTTCAGCCGATTGATAGCTATTCTGACCTCATCTAGGTGCTATACACTCTATAGCGTCATTTCTTATTGGTTCTTGGGTATTTGGTTAAATACCTTCCGGCTATCACAACATTATCAATTTGATTTGTCGTTGCTTGATCAAGATAAATAAAGGTGGCCTTGTGTATATCGAGATGCTTGAATCTGGTGCTGCTAACTACCAAGTTTTTGCTGCCGCGAAGTCAATCAACACCATGCCGTTTTCGGATGTTTCTTTATGAGTTTGAGGAGTTCTTGTAGAAAAATATGAGAGTGTATGTTAGATTTTCCGATTGGAAATAATAGTTATAGGGTAAACGCACCTAATTCCGGCATGTACCAATAGCGTCTGTTTTATATAACTTCAAATAATTAAAAAATCATATAACTAAATACCTTGAATAACATTTAATAACACTGCAATCTATCTCTGTATAAAATTTAATCGAGCTAATTTCATTTATTCAGTCAAAAATTGGCATTTGGTCATTGAGGTTTGGCAACACTTGCGATAATTCATGTTTCTTAAGAAAAAAATAGTGGGCATGACAATTTCAAAAGACTTGTAACTATATTAAAATTATATTTTTTCTCAAGGATCTTCTTCATAACTGTAAAGAACATAGAGGAGAATAATTTAGAACTTAAAATCATTAAAAAATATTTCTAATAATGATATTTTTATCGATGCCGACATTAGTAACAAAAATTGTTAAGGTTTTCCTATGGTCGGCATATGGGGGAATAACATGCATCTTTTCGATAATTTTGCCTCAAAATGGGACAAGATTTTAATCACAAATTCTTTTAACCTCTGAAATGCCATGAATTGGATAACAGGTTCCCAATGTTTTATAATTGTAATATTTTAACAAATAATATTATTTTATATAACTTTTTCAATACAACACTGATGGAAACGTCCCATAGTAATAATTTATTATTGCAAATAGCAGAAAAATCGATTAAATATATAATTTTTGTTTAACTAAAATGTGACATGCCGACTATTGGAACATAACATGCCAACAATTGGAAAAATGTGCCGACTATTGGCACAAAGGCACTATTTTACATAATTATTAATTTAATCCACTTTAATACAAATTAATTAAACCAATTTGAATTCCATCGGGGAGTAAACAAAATTTCGAAACAGATGAACCTCAATACAATATTGTGGAAAAGATGCACTTGGAATGGTGAAACGCTTAAAAAGCGAAAATTCTTAAAGTGCCGAGTATTGGTGCAATTACCCTAGTTGTTTGGGGGCCACATAGGCTTTTTTTGCGACCACAAGAAATTTTAATGCACATTTATGTATTTTCAGATTTACCAGTTTTCATTGAGTGTAACATTCCATGCCATTCATTCATTAAATAGTAGAACAAAAATTAAATATAACTATTATTGCAACTTTCATTTAAATTCTACATGAATTGGTAGAAATTTTGTGTATCATTTCAAAATTTACATATTTTATTGAATTTTATACAAATAATTAGTTTCATAACATAAATGAAATCCGTTTCATTTATTCAATGGAACCACAAATCATTGAATTTAAAAGCAACGTAATTTTTCATTGCATGAATAAGTATTCATTATATTAATGTAGCTTTTTGTTGCATTAAGGAAAAAATCAATGAAACCGGTTCATTGTTACAACGAAGCATTTTTCTTTCAAAGTGGTAGCTCAAGAATGTTAACTGACACAGATGGTCGACACTAAAGGCGATAAATAAGCACTTTAGTGTTTGGACTGTTCGTAGATTCCTAGGTAAAATAGGTCTAGTTGCAGCAGTCCATAAAACAAAAACTTTAAGGAACGTCTCAAATTTTGTAAAAAATGAAAAAATTATAAATCTTAGTGTTGCCGCCGTTCACCGCCGATGAAAACACTTAATCAACTCTGACATGTAAACGTCAGATTATTTTCATCATTCAAAATTCTTGTCAGTTGTTCGTGAAAATAGAAGCCGAGCGTTCATACAATTTTGAAGCCTCCTCCTTCGCGTCCGCCTCCTCCGTCGAATTCCCGTCGAATCATCACCATTCAACCACACCCATATAATTCAAATTTAACGGTCATCCGAATCAACACTCATTCCGTCATTTTATATTTAAAGCGGTGTACACACTATCATTTTTGACTGTCAGCTTTTTTATCGATTACTGACTGTCCAACAACCATAAATATTTTTGTGGTTGCCTGATGAATGACAAACATGTGAGGCCACACTATCGAACAAGCAAAATTTGAGCAAGAGTGCCATTCAAAAATGCTAGTGTGTACACCGCATAAGTTTCTTTTTTATTAAAATCCTGTAAAAAATAAAACCTGAATTCACAATAAACTATTTAAAAATTAAACAAACCTTTTTGGAGTGCTCTCAAAAGGGACAAACTCGGCCTCTGCCGATTCTCGCGCCAACAAATCTTCAAAATTTTATGAGCAGATCCCGCAGGAGTGTTCAATATAGTATGTAAAGAGAGGAACAAGTCTAGTTTAGGGGCTCCACTCGGATCGTAAGTAGTCCTCGTTGAGCTGATTACAGTGATATATATTATATGTGGGGGAAATGCATACTTCCCGAGATATGGGCCTTGAAAGTTCGGAGCATATCTTGATTAAAACGGCCGTTTTAGTAATGCCACAAAGGCAATATGGGTATCATTTTAAAGCTTACAACGAATGCGCATACATGGCTACGCAATCCAAATCCTTTTTTAAGAGCAATTTTCAAATCAAATTTAAGGTTATTTAAGTAGCCGGCCTTCGGCCGGAGCTTAAGACTTTCACCTATGGACAGGCGCATACATGGCTACGCAATCCAAATCCTTTTTTAAGAGCAATTTTCAAATCAAATTTAAGGTTTTTTAAGTAGCCGGCCTTCGGCCGGGGCTTAAGACTTTCACCTATGGACAGACGCATACATGGCTACGCAATCCAAATCCTTTTTTAAGAGCAATTTCCAAATCAAATTTAGGTTTTTTTTTAACACTAGAACGCCGAAGGCGGTCATTTTGACCGCTTTCCAATTTCAAGTATAAAAGCAACTGTGCATTTAATGACACTTTTTTTTTAAATTTGGTGAATTTTTTATAATAAACGCAATTCTATGATGTACAAAAAGTCACCATATTTAAAAAAATGTGTCATTAAATGCACAGTTGCTTTTGTACTTGAAATTGGAAAGCGGTCAAAATGACTGCCTTCGGCGTTCTAGTGTTAAGTAGCCGGCCTTCGGCCGGGTCTTAAGACTTTCACCTATGGACAGGCGCATACATGGCTACGCAATCCAAATCCTTTTTAAGAGCAATTTTCAAATCAAATTTAAGATTTTTTATGTAGCCGGCCTTCGGCCGGGGCTTAAGACTTTCACCTATGGACAGGCGCATACATGGCTACGCAATCCAAATCCTTTTTTAAGAGCAATTTTCAAATCAAATTCAAAGTTTTCTAAGTAGCCGGCCTTCGACCGGGGCTTAAGACTTTCACCTATGGGCAGGCGCATACATGGCTACGCAATCAGTGTGATACCTGCGACGGTTGGTGCCACTACGACTGCGCAAAGGTAGGTGATGAAATAGAAAACCTCAATTGGAACTGCGAATCGTGCACGGCGGAATTGTCGAAAACATCAGCACAGAACATTGCTCAGGAGTTACAATCACCACTTCAGAACTATAGTACACCACCGGAGATGGTATCAGATCAACAAGCAGGAGCATGCACAAAAGCAAACTCAATGTACGTTACAACCCAAACGCAGCCGGCAACAATGTTACAGCAACACACATCATTTGAAATGCCAGCAAATAACCAGCAACAAAGTAATGTATACAAGGGTGTAGCCGAGCAGAAAAGAGCATTAGAGTTGCAGTTCCTAGAAGAAGAGCGAAAACTGAATCAACAGTTTTTACAAAGAAAATATGAAATCATGCAACAACATGATCAGTTTGCGAATGTGATGTACAAAATAGTAATTATTTATCGTTTCAGCCTATTACTGAAAGAAATAATTTTGCAATGAATCAACCAGGCAGATTCTACCAAAAGAGTTGCCTTCATTCAACGGAGATCCCGAATAATGGCCGATATTCATAAGCAGTTACGAGAACAGTTCTTCAATAGGTGGATATTCGAATTCGATTCGTTTACAACAGTGCTTGAAGGGCAGAGCAAGAGAAATGGTTCGCAACAAGCTGTTACTATCACAAATTATAGACACGCTTAGAATGTATTTCGGACGACCCGAACTAATTCTAG